AGACTTATTTGGAGAAAGAAGATTGTAAGAAAAATCCTCATCAACTACTGTAAATGACATATGATTAATAAAGAAACAAGTCGTGGAAGCATCAACAGCCCATAATTACTTAGGGACTTGCGTTTGGAACAAAAGGGTTCGAGCTGTCTAAAGTAAATGCTTATTCTTCCTCTCAGCAACTCCATTTTGAGATAGCGTGTCAACACACGAAGATTGATGAAGAATCCCATATTGAATCATATAGTTCTTAAATGAATCTGGTATGTACTCCTTGGCATTATCACTTCTCAATACATGCATACAGAAATTGAATTGTGTCTTGATTTCAACACAAAAAATAGAAAAATGAGAAAATACTTTCGAATGATTTTTCATAAAATATATCAAAATTATTTAAGAAAGATCATCCACAAAGGTAATGAAATACTTAAACTCAATTTTCGACGACAGAGGCCCCAAACATCATAATGAACTAACTCAAAAGCAGACTCAGGTCACCTATTGACCCTTGCACATGATGGACTACTGTGATGTTTTGTAAAACCGACATGACTCGCAATCCAGTGAGGGTACATTATGAAACTGAAGACATAACTTTTTCAATACAGGTAGAGAAGGATGTTCCAATTGACAATGTGCTTCAAATGGAGAAATAACACTACAGCAAACAACTTATCGAGGTACCTAAGTATCAAGAATGTAGAGACCATCTGATATATTTTCTTTACCAATAATCTGTTTCGTCATAAGATCTTAAATAACACATTGATCAGGAAAAAATATAATATAACAATTCAAATCTTTAATAAACTTACTCATAGAAATCATATTAAAAACAAATTTAGGTAGACTTAATACAGATGACAAGATAATAGATGACGTTATTTTTGTGGTCCCCAAATCCACAATATTATAAATCGACCCATCTACAATAGTTACAGAAAAATATATTTTGTATGGTTGAAAACTATAAAAAATATTAAGATCGCCTGTCATGATCTTGTACCATCATAATCAATCATCCATCTATTCGAGAAGGAGATAAGACATTTTTTTCTCTGATTCAGCAGGAGTGGAAAACTTATTCAAAAATTTCTGATACTGAATGAATTTAGTATACTCTTCAGCTAAAATCATAACAATTCTCTCAGAAAATGAGTTAGCAATACCAGCAACAATTATTAGCGGTCTGTGTCCTCCGATTGCGATTTTACAATTTTTTACAGTACCGTTTTATATGCCATTATTCACGACAGTAATAGCAACAATACTATCACCCATTTTCAGAAATTACCAAAATATTACTCAAATACCCAAAATACAGCAATC